GAGAAAATAGGAAGACAAAAAGGAAAAAGAGGTCCAGCCCATAAAAGACCCTGAGACATGGCTGACACATCTGTCTCACTGATACCATGAAGTTGAGTCATGATTTCTGAGCTAAAACAAAAATAGTGAAGAACCCGTAGTTGAGGTACAGAGAATCTGATGCACTTGTTTAATTTTGCCAGCTGTCAGTTGTCCGCTCTGTGCTTTGTCATTTTGCTCATCTGTGGTCATTAAACTGAAGCTCTATGGCTGCCAAGCACAGCTTCTGGAAACATCCCAGTAGGGTATTTCTTTAAACCACTCAACTCATCTGCATTAGCTAGCACCAAAGCTACAAAGCTACTTGTTTAAAATTCCACCTGCCAAATGAAATGTCAGAGAAGAATGCACCCCACTGTGGGATTACATGGAGGATGGGGGGAGTGTTAATAATTCCTCCATTCAGGAGTATTTGTTATTGGCCATGATAATAAGCCTATTCAACCATTATAATTATCTGTGTGTTTAAAAGGGCACAGCAGACACAGAAAAATAAATGTCTTCCTTTGAGGATATACTTTTTTAGATCAACAGGTCTGGCTTCTCACAAGTTGTAGGATCGCATTTCCAAACTCCTGTTGTGCACAGTTGGCGCATGGGATTTGGATTTATAGACAGGCTTGGGTTGAGATCCTGGCCCTGACGCTTACTAGCTGGATAGCGTTAGGCAAGTTATTAAGCCTCCCCGGGCCCCTATTTCATTCTGGAAATTGTAATGATAAAATAATTATAATATTACTAATAAATACAACCATAATCCTGGCAGAATGTCCTCGTTGGTGCTTGTGACTGACACGTTCTGGGCTCAGACTTCTCTATTTTGCTAGCCTCGACACTTCAACCATTTAACATGAAACTTAACTACCTGGCCTTACTCTCCGCCTATCTGATTCTTTTCCTCAAATTTCATCCTCTTCAACCCTTTCCTGACCACCTTCTCAGAATGACCACTGTCCTGTCACTTTAACCCATTATCTAGTCCTGACTGGAGATTACCTGGAATTATTGGTAGTTTTTTTTTCAGTATTTGGCTCTAATCCAAAGTAACTTGACAGTAATGAAAGAATGAGCTGTTCATAGCAAAATGGACATTAGTGTATATATGTGTATATATATATATATATATATATGTATGTATATATATAGTATTTAATTGTCACTGCAAATTAATTGATCATCATTTACAGCTTTAGTCCCATGATATTCGGTTATCACGAGTCAGTCCACACAGCCAGATGGCTTCTGGACAGTTGATAAAGATCTTGAAGGCTGGTGGCCTTCTGAGGCTCTTTCCCAGTGACACCCTTGCCCAGTACCAACTCGCCTTCCCTTGTCTATCTCCTCTCCCTGTTCTAATCCCTTCCTCACCCTGTATATTTCTACAGAAAGCAGAATGCACTTAGTGCCCAGTACTAGTAAAAGGGGCGTGCTGTGCAAACAGAGTCAGGGTGGTTATATTGACTGTAGACTCTGTGAAAGCACTGCAGGGACGGAAGATTCCAGCCAGGCCTTGAAGGACAAGATTTCAGTATAAGAAGAATGAGTGGGTTAGGGAGGAGGACACCAATAATAAAATGAGCTGTATACATGAAGAGTTCATGGAATGCTAAAAGCGAGGAAAGTGAAACAGTCTAACATTATTCACAGATTGTTTCACTTGAGCAACAAGGCAGAAATAATGGTGATGTTGCAAGAAATGATGGTCTGTATATGTGCAGGCATTTCAGGGAGACAGGCTTCTTTGGAATGTGCAATGCAGGATGAATCTGGGGCTCAAGAGGGGGGTCTAGAGAGTCCTCTTCTGTCAATGTAGGCTTTCTTCTAAACCTCCTTTCTCCCATTTGGCTTTGTGGCCAGTATGAGCACCTTCACTGAACCCATTCCAGGTTCCACCTGGCCTCTACATTCTCATGTTCCTCCTTCCCCCTCCCTCATCCTTAATTACCTTATTTACCCTATCATTCCGTTCCCCCATACCTGTAAGAGCACTTCCTTTCCCTTGCTGACACTGACACGACTGGAAGGTGACTACCGAACATTCAGACAATAACATGATTTCAGGTCCTATCCCACTACCGCAGGCTTAGCTTGGCACTAAGTTAGCACTGGGTGGAGTACGTGTGAGACAGACTCCAGTGGGCACTTTAGATCACAGATGTTCCTTCCCTTACCCCCTCTGAAATACTATAAACAAAATAAACTACACCAAGGATACTGGAGAATATCTGATTGTCCTTGTCACCAGACTTATTTCAGACCCCCCTTTCCTTCTTTTTCTCTACCCTCATTCCATGAAAGTGATAGAAACCTGTTTGCTATTCATTTGGGAAAAAAAGAGATGAACCATACATATCCTAGATAGGGATTACCCAACTCCAAAACTCACATATGACATGAATTGAGCGGGAATTCCATCTTTATTGAAAGAAAAGCAGAGAGAAGACATTGAAACTTAAAATTAGCTGAAAAGTCTACAACTGTTTAAAGCTCTCCATTTTTCCAGTTAATATCATAAAAAGAAATTTCATTTATAGTATAAGTTTCTAAAACAAACACATGCTGACTTTAATTAAATCATTAACTCAACATAACTCAATAATACAGACACTCGCAAAAACCCTATTAGCCTGAATGCACACATTACTATCATTGATTTTTGTATTGAATAAATATTGATTGAAGACATGCTATGTGCCAGGCACCCAGCTAGGCCCTGAGAAAACAAATTAGACATGAAGCCCCCAGCCATACCCACCTCTCAAATTAAAGCAGCCTAGTAGAGACCATAAGCAAGGGGGCGGCTCACTTCTATGCCAGGTGATACACTCTAGATGCTCAGGTCGTGGGAGAAGTCTCACCCACTACAGGGGCAGGGGGTTGGAAGAGGAAGGAGACAGGTGGGCAGAATAATGTACTAGACCACAAGTGAGCCCGTGGGTCTGCCAGCTGCAGCCCAGCCCTCCAGTCTCTAAAAACAGGCCACTAGGCCAATAAACGGCACTCAAGCGGCCATGAAAGAATCAGTCTCTATCTTTATTTCCTAGGGCAGGGAAAGAGGGGCAAAGATCCTTTTTCAAAAAAGAATGTGTTTTGTTTTGTTTTGTTTAATGGCTGTAAAAAGAAAATTAAATTAGCCAGAATAACCTATTCTTAATAGACTGTATATTGCAGGCTTTCCTCATTTGGCTCAGATACAAGCTGCCCATCTGCCAAACTGTTCATCCACCATTACTGAAGAGCCCCTCAGCACAGCCCACCCCGGCAGATGTACACCATTGCCACAAAGCTTTCCAAGCCTCTGTTTCAGGCAAAATGTCCAACCAACTGCCTACATCCACACCTCGGGCCACACTTCCTCACCCATCAAATCCTGCTTATCCTCTGTGCCAGCTTGGATACCACCTCACCCAACATACCACTCAGTCCCACACATGGATGTTCTCAATCCACCGAGCTGCCTAGAGGCGAGCCTCAGATGTCTGGCACAGACAGCTCCAGTGACTGCCTGCCTCTCAGGCTACATTTAGTGCTTTGGAAAGCTGTCTCCCAACAGATCATAATTTAAAGACAGGGTCACTTTCTTATCTACCTCTGTTCCAATTGTAAACCTTTATGGTTTCTGAGTTAGAGCAGGTATCCAAATATTTGCACACAGCAAAATAGTTTAGCAGTGCTAATTTTAAAATATATATATTCTAATTTGAGATTGTTAACCTCCAAAAACCAAGATGTCTCTCCATTTCTGTTCTGGTCGGTTAATAAGCAACAAAAAGATAAAGACTTAACTTGAGTATCTAATTCAAAATGTTACCTCCTTCATACTGAACCATGAATTATGAACTATGTTTAATAATTCACTTTATTTATATTTTAATTATTGGAAACACATATTTCAGATTTATAAGTAAATGGTAAAACTCAAAATTGTTACGAAAATGATTTCAGACATGTTAATAGTAATTAAGAAATAGTTAACTAAAGTCACTTAGTGGTTACTGGTGTCTTAACACAGTAATTCTTCCGAAAGAATATGGTCGCAACATACTCCAAATATCAATGATGATATTCCCCAGCGAAACCCAAATATATGGCATAATTAATAGGCTTTGGTTCTAAAAGTAAAACCAAAAATCCCAATTGAATAACTACTTTTCTCTGCAATTACAACACTAAGCTGGAATATAGAAAAATTAACACTTTACCTCAACATCACAAAGCACTTCAGTGTCATGGGGCAATTAAAAAAAATAAATCTGATCAAATTGATCATCCAAATCATGATTTAGTAACCTGGTGATTGAATTTACATTACAATCAATCTAAAAATATAAGATTTGTCTCATAATTATATTTGGCTGTTTTACCATATTGAAATACTAAAGCTTTGTAAACACACTGAATCGATAATTTGTTTCCTTTAGTTTCAGAATTTTTCTTTTTTAGTGAAGGCAAGTGAAGGTGCCTATAGGTAAGAACACACACGCGCACACACACGTCAAACAGGAAGAAATTTAAGCTCTCTGGCAAAGGGAGACACACATTCACAAATTTTTTAGAAATATTAATATGCATTTTTGTCTATAGTACGATGGGGCAACAGTGGAGAGAGAAAAAACAGAGAGGCAGACACACACTTAAGCAAGAAGTTGGAGAAAAAGGTCTGCTCTTAGTTTCTTTGCGAAGAGATGGAAAAAGAAAAACTCACCCAACAGAGCTTTTTTTATGCCATAAAGTGTCCTAGAAGGGTTATTTGTAATTGTTTTAAAACACGTAAAGGTCAACCCTAAAACCGATGGGAACACCAGGTGCAATCAATATTAGCTTAATTTAAATTCTTGTAAATGACATTCTTTCCATCCGAACTAGCCACAAAAATAACTCCTGACCAAATTTTCCAAGGGCATTGAATGTGCTTTAAAAAGAAGAAAAGAAAACAGGAAAGTGCCCGGCCCTGGTCTCACCTCTGGCTCTTCTGGTGCCCCCTCTCCAAAGGGGGTTTTCTGGAGCAGATCAAAGATGCCATCGCTAGAAGCCCTCCTGTCCTCAGCAAGAGGGGCACAGGTCTCCTCCGAGTCCGATTCTACGGCGTGGAGAGGGCCTGCCTCTCCTTGGCTCCAATCCAATTCTTCTTCAGACTGTTTCAAGGAGCTACTGCTACTCTTGGGAAAGATCCCTGCTGTCGACAGGCTGCTGGGCACGGAGGTATAGGATGACTGAGGCCCAGAATAAGGCCCGCCTCCCGGGGCTAAGGCCTCAGCCTCCAGGAGGTCAGGGACAGAGAGGCTGAGGCGACGGTCCAGGTGACGCCTTACCCTCAAGTCTAGGGGTTTGTTTAGGGTCTTTTTCACCTTCTTCTTGCTCAAGTTGATTAGCAAAGGCTTGGTCCGCTGTTTTAGTGAGTCCCAGACAGACGGCTTATCCAGATCCATGACTGCATGAAGACGGAAGCAGTCACTCCGTGAAAGAGCTCCTCGCTACCAAAAACAACTCCAGCGACTTCTGGGAAACAGAATAAGGAGAGAAAACATGAATCTTCTCTGTGCTGTTCAGGACATTAAAGTGGAAAACATGACTCAAAAATGTCACACTTTCCACAAAGTGATCAATATGGAAACATCTGATTGGGAATGACCTACAAATATTTTTTAAGAAAGCATTTTTAGGAAGTGAATTTTTAAGATTTTTTTTAAATCAAAGAAGTTACAGAAAAGGTAAAGCAATGAATGAAAGCACGAGGCTGATGCAAAAAAAGTTCCCTAAGGAGACTGTTTTCTCTGTCTGACATTTCTCTCGGCATAATGTCCAGGTTCATGTACATTGTTGCACATGGTGGCATTTTCTTCTTTCTGTGGTTAAATAATTTTCCATTATACACTGAATTTTCTTTACCTATTCATCCCTCAATGACTACTTAGGTTGTTTCCATTATCTTAGCTACTGTGCATCATGCTATAGTGAACAAGGGAGTACAGATATCTTTTCAAAAAACAGATTCACTTTCGTGGATATATATTCAGCGGTATAATTTCTGGATCATGTAGTACTTCTGGTTTTAATTTTTTGAGGACCTCCATACCGTTCTTCATAATGGCTACACAAATTTACATTCCCATCAACAGTATACATACATTCTCTTTTCTCAACATCCTTACCAATATGTATCACTTATCTATTTTATAATACCCACATATACTTATGGTTTGCTGACAGATTTTATGTGCTCACACCACACACACACACACACACACACACACACACACACACACACACACACACACTGTAACTATGTGAGGTGATGGATATGTGAATTAACTTGATTGTGGTACACATTCCACAACATATACATCATGTGGTTCACCATGAATAATTTTATTTGTCAATTACACCTCAGTAAAGCTTGGGGGAAAAAAGAATACTTTATTTCCTTTCCAGGGAAAGCAGAGCTAAAGACACTTACTAGAACAATAACAGCATCTTTAAATAGTAGGATTAAGGGAGTATCTTTCTACGTCTCTAAACCAGGAGTAGTCAAACAGCTTTTGCATGAGGCCAACCAGTAAATATTTTAGACTATGCAGGCCAGATGGTGTGTCATAACTTCCTGACTCTGCTGTGTGACACCAAAGGAGACATAGACAACACACAAATGAAAGAGTGTGGCTGTGTTCCAATAAAACTTTATTACAAAAACTGGCAGTAGACTATAATTTGCCAATCCCTACTTTAATCTCAGCATCATCCCTTCTATAGTTAAGTATGCATTTTGAAGGATTGTTCATATCAACAAGGATTCCATCTAGCATCTTTAAAATTTATGTTAAAATAAGAGTAACTAAAGAGAAAAAACATTTATAAAAGTAAGACACCTGTCCTTATTCCAATGTACCAGGTCAAAATAACCGACAAATCTTCTGTAATGGAAATCATGGAGAAGTGAGTTTCAAAACTTCATCTTGAGAATGTAAGATTAAGGGAAAGTACTTCCCACAAACATCTGGATGTGCTAGGAATGCTTCACAAATAAATATGGAAATGAAAGAGTGTGGCTGTGTTCCAATAAAACTTTGTTACAAAAACTGGCAGTAGACTATAATTTGCCAATCCCTACTTTAATCTCAGCATCATCCCTTCTATAGTTAAGTATGCATTTTGAAGGATTGTTCATATCAACAAGGATTCCATCTAGCATCTTTAAAATTTATGTTAAAATAAGAGTAACTAAAGAGAAAAAACATTTATAAAAGTAAGACACCTGTCCTTATTCCAATGTACCAGGTCAAAATAACCGACAAATCTTCTGTAATGGAAATCATGGAGAAGTGAGTTTCAAAACTTCATCTTGAGAATGTAAGATTAAGGGAAAGTACTTCCCACAAACATCTGGATGTGCTAGGAATGCTTCACAAATAAATATGGAATAATACAGTATGGTAAATGTTCTGTAGGAAAGGGAATAATTTGGGATACAAGATATTGAACACACTTTGGATCAAATCAAAATCAAATTTTAAGAAACAACCTTTATTCAATTCATAAAGTGCCTCATAATAAATCCTTCCAATATGAAAATGAGCAATATGGTCAGATCACTCTGGTCTGGCCTATACTTACACTGCCATGTTTGGCCAAGAACTAAAGAGGCCAAGGATCACAACAAAACATATTTTCTAAAATCAAGACCCCATTCAATTACACACAGCCCTCTCTGGATGTTTAGTCATTGGGATGTCACTGCCTCTTGAAGGTCAGGACTGTGTGACTCTGCAGTCCTTGCCTGATGACCACCAGCACAAGCAAAAGCTTCTGCCAGGATGAAGTCATTATCTTCAACAGGTGATGCAGATACAAAGAGCTTGGTTTCTAGAGACAGACTCCGTGGGTTAGAATTCTGCTTTGCTACATTCTACTGAAATGTGCAATCAGAGGCAAATCATCACACCAAGCCTCAATGTTCTCACCTGTCCAGTGGGGATTATGTTACCTAGTTCACAGACAAACTGAGATAAAGGGTAAGGCACAGTGTCTCATGCAGAGGAAGCATTCAGTCAAGAAAAGCTACTTTTTATTATCAACACAGTTGTCATAATTCCCAATTTTGATATCCTACTGAAGTTGCTTAAGAGCTCTGTGTCTCGTTACTAATCCCATTTACAGATGAGTTTAGCCATAACTACCTCATATGAATTCATCCACATGAGGTGCTTAGAACAGTGTTTAGCACAGAGTAAACTTTTCACACAAAGTTAGCTAGTTTTTAAATGATTTTTATTTCAATTATTTCATATTGGGTCATTCTGGCTTGAAAAGTTTTAAATATTTTACAACTTTTTGTTGCTTTTAAAAATGTTATTTTAAACATAAACTTGTATTTCACATTAGGAAGTCTCAAATATATTATTTAATCCACATTTTATAGACTCATAAATATGCTAAAAAATGATTGTTTCTATATTCATTTAGAAATATCTTTAGTCAATTAACATTTAAAGGAGTGTTGTAGAAATGTCTGTTAGATCTAGTTGATTGATGGTTCAGATCTGTACTCTTGCTAGAGTAGTATGTAGAATAGATTTTCTACTACTTGTATTACACAGAGAAGAGTGTTTTTCTACTATAATTGTGAATTTGTCAATTTCTCCTTTCAGTTACTTTAGTTTTTGATTCTGTATTTTGAAGTTCTTTATTTTTACGTGTTAACAGTTATGTCTTCTTTTTGTTTAAAACCAATCTCACAGTCTCTTTTAGTTAGTTTTGACCATTTACATTTAATGTAGTAATTAATATATTTGTATTTAGGTTGTCATTATATTTGTTTCTTAATTGTTTCCATGTTCTTGCTCTTCTGTTTTGCCTTCCTGCCTCCTTTGAGTTTATCTGAACATATTTTAGTGTTCCATTTTAGTATATCAAATGTGATTTTGACTCTATCTCTTTGTAAAAAAAATTTTCTTTTTTTTGAGAGGGCATCTCTCATATTTATTGATCAAATGGTTGTTAACAACAATAAAATTCTGTATAGGGGACTCAATGCACAATTATTAATCAACCCCAAGCTTAATTCTCAACAGTCTCCAATCTTCTGAAGCACAACGAACAAGTTCTTACATGGTGAACAGTACAAGGGCAGTCATCACAGAGACTCGGTTTTGATCACGCATTATGAACTATAAATAATCAGGTCAAATGTGAATATTCGTTTGATTTTTATACTTGATGTATATGTGAATCCCACATTTCTCCCTTATTATTATTATTATTATTATTATTATAGTGCATAGGCCAAGAAACTCACTTAAATAAGCATTCATAACCTAGTACATA